CGAGGTCATTCCTCGTCCCACGAGATTCCTTCAGGATTATCGGTCTTTTGCCGATTCCTAGCAAATCTCGTGTTTCTAAACACCCCTCATTTAAATTTTCGACAGTCAAGGTTCAGCCGAATTTTTTGTTTTCTTGTTCTTCAGCAGATGTATGATTTTTGAACTTCTTATATCTAATTTTTTTCTGAATGCAGATGCCAAGTGATTTATACAGAGAAAGACGCATGTGAGCAGGACAAACCTGGAACCAACTGCCTCAGGGGAAAATTCAGAAAAACATTTCCCTGTCCTGAACCTACAAATGCATATTCTGTCAGTGGAACCTGTTCCACAGCAGTTTGCAATAAAACGAGCGATTGTCGACCAGAATGCAAACATCATAGGGAGCTTTTTCTCACAGCAAACCCAACAGAAGTGCCTTTCAATGAGTCGAATATAATCAAAAAGGTCTTGGAAATCGGAGTGGGGTTTCAAAGTTCAGTGTCCATTTGTTTGGACAACTTTGCTGGACTGGTGGAGTTTGATGACACGTTTTTTGTGTCCCTTTCAGGTAATCATTTGATTTATCTTTGATGGTTGCCCTTTTTATTTTCATTGTCTCACATGATTCCAAAGATTCAATCTACTATCTTATAGTTATTATATTTCTGTAAAAATGCTTTCTTCAAATATTGAGGTCAGATGAACCTGTGAACTATTATTGTTGAAGTCAACTTTAGTGTCTTGTTTTCAGCTTCTTTTTCTCAGTCATTCCTTTACAGGGGATTATACTTCAGACTTGAATGCCAAAACAAATTGGCACACCAAAAACCAAAGGGCTAAAGCATCTGGCAGCAATAAAGCTGTCAAAACATGCTTCCAAGAAAATCAGTAAGATGACACCCTAGTTTTATGGGGGACATCTCACAGGATAAAACTTGTACAGAAAAGAAGATGATGAAAAGAGTACTAAAGTACTATCATACCTGATCAAGTACCAGTAGTACATTTGTAGTAAACCAGGTTTGATGGGCCTCACATTTTGATAATGAAAACATGAACACCTTTTTTCCAAAAAAATGATAAACAAATGAGAAATGGATCTTTTATATTACTTTTCAGACAAGTTGACATGGATTGAGTGGCTCAAGAAACATTCCAGCATCAGCCTGATCATTGTTTCATCAGCATTGGGTGCAGTTCTGTTGTTGTTCCTGTATTTCCTTGTCAGGAGTATTAGCAGAAAGTGTAAACGTCCCAGCAAAAAATCTGGTGAGTGAGTAATCTTCCATTACATACAGTACAGCAGAATTTTGTCACTAAAAACAAAAATACTTTGCTGTAAAAAGTTGTATTCACAACATCTGGGAATTTCCACCACAAATCTTGGTAATCAATAAATATATGTATGCATTCATTACAAAAAAGGAGTAAAAAAAACTTTTGATGCAGGTTATAGAAACCAATTTTTATTCCTTTGGAATTCTTGAATGGAAAATAAAAGCTGAACAAAGTTGAGAATCATAAAAGAAGGAGTTCTCATGAAATTGAAAAAATCATCATATGCAGTTTTGTTCAGAAAAGTTGAGTTTTTTTATATTCTACATTACCCTGAAATGGAGAAGAAAGGCTAGTTCAAAGTTCAAGTCAATTTTATTTGTGACCAATTCTCCAAATAATATTCCTTTGAAAAACATTTGGTGCTAAAGTGCACAGTACAACTAATGCATTCATCAGGTCTTTGCACATATTCCAGTGTTTTATCTGAATTTTCTTTTGAATCATGTGCTTCTGTGCCAACATTTTTTCCAGGTTCCAAGCAATCCAATCATTTTGTTATAACAACATGTTTCTGTGCTTTAAAAATTGAATTTTTTGATTGAATGCAATTAATTTCAGAGATGCATCACCAGGAAATTGAAGAGCCAATGGCAGATCTCCCTGATGAGAATCAAAGGTTGGAAATCCGCAAAATTCCGCAAGGTCGTTTTGCTGTCACAAATGAACATGACCGAATGGTAGCTGAACTGGAATGCTTAGCCAAGCAATCTGCAAACGGGAGGCTAGCTGCCCAACACTACAAATGATGCTAACTTGTTTCGTAATTTTCCATGTGATACCTTGGGCCTAAAATAGCAAGTTGTGTATTCAAGGGGGCTCTTTATTGATCATAGAAATGTTTTGTTGTCAGTTTTTGAAGAAAATTTAAACGTTTTTCAAATTAGTGAATAAATTATATAATTTGGCTCTAATGTCCAACTTGACCAAAATTATTTTCATGAAAAATGAAAATAAAAGAAGTCTTTAATTACTTTTGGCATAACAAAAGGAAATACAGTGAGACCCTCACATGCAGACACCTCAATCTGGGGACAATTTGACACAGGGACACTTATTTCATCATAAAAAATCAATAAAAAAAGGTCCAACATGAGGACACTGACCCAACATAGGGACATTTTGTTATAAGATTGCAAATACATTTCAGGCCAAATTACATGAAACAGATATTTCCAACCCTCAAATTGATGTAAGAAAAGGTCTTGGGCATTTCTCTCATCCATTTAGCTCATTTAAAAAAATTAACTCCAGCACAGAGGGACTTCCTTCTCACTTTTTCACTTGAATATTATTTTTTTTACAGAGAATGCCAACGTTTCTTTGTACTGTACAGAGGTATCAGTATTCAATTCCCCAAATGCCCATCATGTGTTGAAATGTATTGATTGGAATCAGTTTAAATTGGGAGACAATTTTTATTTTCATGGAATTATGGTGAGTATATTGTACATAAAACACCAATTAGAAATTACATGATGTAAGTCTAAGGAAAAATGAGACTCAACTTTGGGATATTTTGACTTAGGGACACTCTTGAGTCTTGATGCACCAATTACGTCCGCATCTCAGGGTCTCACTGTACAGTAAATGTCTTCAAATTTTGAACATCATAGATAACCACAGGATTTTCAATTGAGAAATGTAGTCAAAATGCAATTTATTTTAACAAAAGAGCCACATAAATACTGAAAAAGAAAAAAAGCCAAATATTTCATAGAAAATGGCAGTTTTACATTTCAACATCACTTCAAATTTCATAATAAATCCAGCAGTGAACTACAAAAAAGCTTGCTTTGTGCTGTGAATACTCTCGCAGTTTTTGCTAAAAAAAATCAGAATCCAGAAAAAACACCGCGTTGAAGTACAAAAAACCAGAAATCTGCACAAAAGGTTCAATCTTAATTTGTCAGAAGTTATAAGACTGCAGTGGAAATATTTTCTCTCTTCTTTCTTTTTTTGTCAGCACAAAAACAAATCATATCTTTGGCAACTGAGAACACTGGACGACTTGAATTCACTGGGATAAAACACGAAAAAACGTTTTTTTCTTTTCTTTTGGATGATGTCAGCGCTTGCTGATGTTGGCATCATTGGATGGCTGCAAAAGTCGGACTTCAGCCCTTGTGCTGCACCCTGCTGGGAACTTTTTGCGCACAGGTGGCTTGGTGAAGCTCTTCATCTTTGGTGCACTTGAACATGAATCAGGCTTTTGGGCATCAGGGGGTTTTGGAGTTGGTGGTCTGCCTTCTGCCATTGATGCCTCTGGAGTGGATGCCTTCACCTCGAAACTGAAAATTTCCAGAATTACAGAAGCTATTTACTATTCATGGATCATAAATTCATGCACCACCAAACAGCAGGTACACTTGAATGATGCCTGAAGACTGGAAATTATATCACATGCATTGCCCATAATAATTCACATAATAGGAAGAACAGTTTTAATATAATATTTACTTTAGTAACATATACAGTACATCTCCACTTTTGCACTTTAAAATATATCTCTACACAAGACAAGTACTGTACTTCAGTTTTTAGTGAAAACATTTTACCATTAAAAAATTGGGACAGCTAATCATAACAAAAAGCGTTAGCAACAAACCAGCCTTTGGAATAGGTTAAGTATATTTCTCAATACAGGTGGTACCTTGAAATCAAACATCCTGCAATTGCACTATACAGTAAACTACTTCAATTTGACAGTCAAATTTGCTTGCAGGTCAAGTAGAAATTCAACCACTACCCCACAATATGATCTGCTGAAAGATGCCAAATGTCAAATTTGATGTAGAAAACATTGAATTTGATGTTCTTTGGCAATTTGACTGCTTCACAATTTGACCCTAGCCTGGCAATCAATTTGGGTCAAATTCTGGGATACTGCTTGTACCTAAACATATCCACAAACCTTGTGGAGCTGGTGACCACTTTTGCAGGTCTTTTTGTGATGTTCTCTGCAGCCTTCCTGTTCCTTAAAGCACTGAGTTGTCTCACAATAGAGTTCCTCCTTCTCCTCATGGCAGGCCACACACTGTGCCAACTGCTCACAGACTCTGGGGGAGCAGTGGAGGCACTTGCCACTGATCCCTCACAACAAGAAGACTCCTGCCTCACATTTTCCCCATCCTGGTCAGTCCCAGTGTAGTTTAAGTTAGCCTCAAATTCACTCATCAAAAGATAATTCTCCATCTGGTTGCATGAGGTGATGCAGTCAGCAGCTAGGTCTATGTCAATGTCAAGATCAATGTCCAGATCATCAAGAAGGTTGTCTGGAAGGTCCATGTCTGCAATGCCTTCTTCTGAGATGCAAGTGAGCTCTTTGTTGTGCTGATGGTGCCCACTGGCTTTGATGTCCAGCAAGGAGCTGAGAGCTGATAAACTTGCCAAATGGTGTGCTGCAGCTGCTCTTACAATCTTAGACCCACTGCTACTTGCAACAGCTGCTTGTCTAAGCAGGGCCAAAGCTTGCCTAGTTTCAACATCATCAAGCAAGTCCAAGTCCAGCATTTCCCCAACAGCAGTGTCCATGACATGTCCTCTTTCAAAGTCCCTGGAGGACAAGTTGAGTTTCCCAGGGCTGTGACTGGACTTGGTGGAGAGCTCAGCTGCTGCTTCTGCTATCAGTTGCTTGCACCAGGGGGCGTTGTCACCAGATGGGTTTCTAGCACTTGGAGGAGTCAACTGCTGCTTTGACAATGGGGAGGCGACATTTCTTTTGCCTACTTTGGCTGCAGCACGTCTCCTGCGAATGTTGATGAGGAACAGGGTTGCCCCTCCAGCCAAGACACTGGCTGCACTCATGTAGTATCCAGCTTTGCCACCAAAACTCACATTTATATACCCTAAAAATGAAAAAAAAACTTGGGTTCACAAATCATTCAAACTAGAGTCACTTTTTAAAGTCCTCCTCACCTGAGAATGGAACACCAATGACTATGGGAAGAGCTTGTGAACACTGGACAAACCCCCAGGCCCTGGGGAAGTTCCTTGCTCTGACTTTTTCAAAGGTAAACATTTTCAGGGAATATTGGTATCCTCCACAAAAGACCCCATAGATCCAAACAAACAAAATGTAGCCTTGGTATCCATCCACAACAGTCAGGGCCAACAGAGATACTCCACACATGAGGACGGATGCCTGCAAAAGTATCATGAAATTCAAAATAGGTAGCAAATGTTTCCATTGTATATAGTGATGCCAAACATCCTGAAGATCAAACCATCAGATGGGTGTTGGGCAATCCAACAACAGATACTGACCTATAAGCATCTCTGCTGGGTCTCAAAATCTGTAAAGACTAAAGGTATCTTTTGGTCATTTGATTCCAAAAAATGGGGCTGTGCATTTTAGGTTAACCCCTGCTCTGAAGGGATTAAAATGTCATTGAGTGGATTTGGGTTGGGTGGGAAGGGGGTTTGGTTGTGGGAATCTTGATTGAACCTTGTGAACGCTGAAAAGTGGCAAATAAAGTGTTCTGTTCCTTCATTCATTCAACCCAATGTCACTGAAATGCACCAAGGTTATGGGTGGGAAGGGGGTTTGGTTGTGGGAATCTTGATTGAACCTTGTGAACGCTGAAAAGTGGCAAATAAAGTGTTCTGTTCATTCATTCATTCAACCCAATGTCACTGAAATGCACCAAGGTTTCAAAGACCTGAATGCGGAAAAATCTGGGAGGCACATTTTTTGTTGTTTTCAGGATTGTCTCATGTAAATTATCCTTCAGGAATGCAGGAAAAAACGCCACCCAGTGAGGGATTTGTTCTATCTCTCATTCAAAATTTCTGCAGGATTAAAAAAAAATTCCTGCAGTACTCTGGTCCAAAATGTTTTGACAAAAAAATCCCAACTTTGCTGCACAAGTGTCAAGCCCACTGAAATTTGCTGGTCCTTAGCCTCAAAAAGATTGGGAACACTGTTCTAAAACAGACATAATTCATCATTCAAACACTAGGTTTGTTGCATGATCCATTCTTCATACAAATCATCATCATACAAATAAACCTTTTTATTCTTTATAGGAAGAAAAACATATTCCTTATATGAATTTGGTTTGTGGGATGGGGCTAACAAATTGCATCAAATATGCTCATTCTGCAGGATGTTCATAGTGCAAAGTACAGTATTTTTAGCATGAGGTGCCAGAACTGAATTTGCTCTGACCCTATCTCAACATACCTGGCAAAGGTAAAGTCTGGCAATCCTGCAATCTGTACTGTTCTGTACAACTATGAATCCAAAGGCAAGAGTGCCAACAGCCCAACCTAGGCCAAGGAAAACTTGCAAGAACAAGGGAGTCCTTGGGCCTGCTAAGTTAAAGTTTGTACTAGTGGCCTCAAAGCCAGGTTTGAGCCTTGTGCTGCTGGGGTTCCTGTTGCTGGTTGCCAGGGTTGTTGGTGCAGTGGTTAGCAGCAGAAAGGCTCTTTGAACATCAATTGGCAGAGTGGTCACAGGATCTTCAGGATTAATACCCTGCAATTGTTCTTCAATTGTCATGCTGGAGAGTTCTGGTGGGAAGTTGGAGCTGCTCATTGCTGCTGCTTCTGCTGTCCATTGAGCCACCTTCTCCTCAGCATGATGAGCCTACATGAGAATTCAATTCACATGAATAATACATGACAGTACAACAAATTAAAATTTTCAATCCATGAATGTTCACGTCAAGTCCAGTGCATGAACATTTTTTTTTAACTTTATCTCAACCCATCTGAAAATTGTGCTCATAATTCTTGATTTGAGTGTTGGACACTTTATTACAAAAGATGGTACTCTCATGTTATCTCTGCATCTCATAGACCACACTACCATCCAGACAAATCTTTAGGACAAGTTCATAATCACAACAACCTACCCGCAATTGTGAATTTTATTTTTCCGCATTCTGCTGAAACTGATTTTGGGAGGTGGTTAGGTAAAGTTAGGTTAGGTCAGGTTATGTTAGTAACAAATATCTTTTAATTAACATGACCTGACCTAACCTAACTGCCTCCCAAAATCAGTTTCAGCAGAAACCCAAAGAAAGCAGAAACTGATTTTGGNTACCATGACCTGCCCTAACCTAACCGCCTCACAAAATCAGTTTCAGCAGAAACCCAAAGAAAGCAGAAACTGATTTTGGGAGGCAGTTAGGGGAAGTTAGGTTAGGTCAGCTTAAAGTGGTCAGAGGGAAGGTACAGAGATAACAGGTCAGTAGGTACAGAGATAACAGGAAAGTACCCAAAACATAATGAATTTCAAATGAGATTCGATATATTTTAATTCATACACAAAAAGATAGCAAGATAGCATGAAAAAGTTTGAAAATACTGTAGACTGGGTACCATCAGGATAACTTATTGGTAATCTATCTCAGGAAAAATCCTATCATGACAAAATTTGGCCATGTAAAACATGATTTCCAGCAAGTTTCCATTAAAGCATACTCCCTTCACTCTAGACACTGAAAAGTGTCTCTAAAACCATGTAAGCTCTGCTTATTTCTACAATAGTACAGGTGGTACCTCACAATTCAACATCCCACAATTTGACTGTCTTGCAATTTGCTGGTCAAATTTATTGCTGGGATGTAACCTTGAAATTCAACCTGCAAATAGACTCGATGTTGGAATATATTTTCTGTGATTTATAATTGTCAATGAAGTTATGCTTTGAGTTGAATTTTGTTGGAGGAGACTTATTCCTGTGAAACTTTCTATGAGCTTTGGGATGTTTGTCTTCGTCTGGGAAATAAAAAAAATATCTACTCCCAAGAACTAAAAAAAATGAAGCTATTTTCGAATATCGTCACGTTTCTGCCATATTTTAAAAATGCGGAAAAGAATATGTACCAGATAAATAATTGGAGTACTGAGCCCGAAAGCAGCCAAACTAGTGGCAATCAGAAGAATCTGCAGAGTCTTGGATCGCAAACTCGAGAAATCCAGGATCGGGGGTTTCGTGTCGATCCCAGAAACCTGGTTCGCTGGGTTGTTGCCGGCCCCTGCGGGGTTCTGCACGGCTGTGGCCCCGGATTTATCCTTGATTTTCCTGCGTTGGTTCTTCAGGTGCAAAATGGCTCTTCGTTGGGGATGATACAGGGTTGCACTTCGGTAAAAGGTGCCAACGAAAAAAGTCACAACCATGCAACCTGTCACTGCTTGCAGACCCAGTCGCCAACCAATTGATCTGCAATTTTACAAAATAAAAATAATCAATTGTAACCAGTACACTTTTCGAAGTATTATTGAAAATTATTTCCTGCATCGGGAGAAAAAATGGCATGATCGCAATATTCTGAGGAAAAACAATATTCATTATGTCTCTATGCGAAATGTTTCCGCGATATTATGAAAGAAATAGAAGATTCACATTATTAATTTACTGTATTTGGTAAGAAATAATCAGGACGATGAACCAAGTATTTTTGCTTTTTTGGCGTGATTATTCAAATTTAAACGAACGATTTTTGGGCTTGGAGCAAAATGAATGGCAACCTGTTCTTCGAATGATATGAAATTTGTTCGAAAGGACAATAAAATTTCCCCAAAATTTGAGATCAGCTTATACAGTACAGTAAATTAAATTCATTTTAACACTTATTCACGCGGAAAAAATTCAGTATGATTATATATGCCGTGATTTTCAATAGGTAATATTTTCCACAATTTAGTCAACCATTTTAAAATTTTAAAATTAATATCTTCTGGATCAATATTCCCTCAGAATTTTTCCCAGTGCTTCCAAAGCCTCATTCATCTCCGCCAAAAGTTTACATCTCCAAACCAAAGCTGAATCTGAATTCCAATTTAATTGAATTGAAATTTTCTCACGTACCCAATGGCTTCTTGTATGAAGACGGACATGAGAGAGATCCCGAGTCCAGATCCGGACACAACAAAGATTTCCACGAATTCTCGCCGACGCTTGAAATACTGACCAACCATGAGGGTTGAAGTGTCTCTTGTCAAGCCCACTCCAATTCCTAAAAAAGTTTTAAAATGCTTTTCAAAAATACCGAAGAAATACACAGCCGCAAGAAAATTTGAACAAAGTTTGATCCGTTTTCAAATATAAACCAAAACGTTAATCAAAGGCTGGAAATTCCCAAAAGCAAATTCAAATTCAAATGCCACTCAACCTTCAGAAAATTCAGCAGACAGCGAAGTTCTCTGTCTTCAAGAAGAAAAATAACTCTGTTTTGGAAAGAAAATATCATTCTTTGTCAGCTAAATATTCTGGTTGTGTGAAGCAATTTCTTATTTCTGAGTGCAGTAACTTTTTTTTCTAGCACATGGCGTTACTTCATAATTCCAAATTTATTTGTTCGTTGTTTTCCATACCAAAATTGCATACAATATTATTATTTTATATCTTGATTGTTCAGGTATGCAATTCCCCCAAAAATGCCCTGTAAACCTTTTGTTGCCTATGTTAGCAACCTTAAAGTGAACCAGCTTCCAAATCACCAATACAGTACAACTCTCCAAATTTATTGTCATCCTTCATTAGTTCCCAAAATATGCAAGGATTGATGATAATACAACATTGAATTAGACATTAATTTCAGGCTGCTGACATTAAATTAGATTAGACAGAAGTTTTGTTTTTGCTACAGAAAATTCCCAAGTTTTCCCTTATGTTCATATCCTTCCTTATAGGAAATTGGAACTTTAAACTCCACTTTGGGAATCCCTAATTATAGTTGATGAGGTTTATTACTGACCTAAATGCACATAAAATAATGAAAGCTCAGGATTTCAAATACAGTGAGCAGGTAAAGCAGTTACACAGCTAACCATAAGGGAAAATGAAAGGTAAGCTTTCTTGACCCAAATTGACACAAGTTGGACTTCAGAAACAAGAGGAACACAACCTTCCCAAACATGGCTGATGCAGAGATTTTTCTTCCCAATTCAATAAAGAGACCCTTTCTGAAATCTTAAAGGATCAAGATAAACTGTTGGCCTTATATGATTTCTCATAACAGATTCTCCCTAAATTGCTCATTCAACTAAACCTCATACAGAAACAAGCTGAAGACCTCGCGCTTTAAATTAATTTTTACTGATATTTTGTTTTTGGTGTCAGGGAAGGAATGGGTGTATGCATACATGTCAGATGTCCAGTTGTATTGTGTGGATTGTATTTTATTTTATTTCTGTTATCCATTTGTGCTCTGTTTCCTGCTCTGAAGGGATTGAATGTCTTTGAGTGGATTTGGGTTGGGTGGGGAAGGGGTTTGGATGTGGAAATCTTGATTGAACCTTGTGAACGCTGAAAAGTGGCAAATAAAGTGTTCTGCTCATTCATTCATTCCCAATTTAAATCAGCAGATTTGATTTGGCACACATAGTTTTTTGTGGTTTAATGGTCAGACATTGAAGGTTACCTATCACAGCGCCATAGGAGAAGAACAGCTGATGGAACTGCGTCGCAAACGACGTGAAGAGACAACCGAGTGCCGTGACGAGTCCTCCCAACACGGCTGTCAATCGTGTCGATTTCCGTCGACACAAGCCCACCGTCACAGGAGAGATCAGCAGACTGACTCCGAGCGACATCGCTCCCAACCAACCTGAAACGAAGGCAATATAAAATAATGCTGTCATTAATTTGATGCACTCCAACAACACCAAATGGGATTGAAATTTGTCTGCTTTATTTTGAAAAAAAAAGAGGATAGAAGAATGATTAGAAGAGCCAATATAGGTTGGGGGAAAATACCCCAATTTTTTTTTTTTTCATTCCTGCAGAAAAATGTTTCACTGTTTGGTGGCATTTTTTCTGCTTTCCTGCCAGAGGATTAGCACTGAGGGATTTTTGGAACGATGGATTTTCCCTTTCATGCATTCTTCCTGACCTTGACTCCTCAGCCAAAGCTGAACTTTTGCGGCTTTTGATTTAACCAAATTTGACTTCAGAAGGTTTGAGCAATTGAGGTTCAACTGTATTTTCATTTGCAACACCAACAATTTTTTCTGTTTCTGATTCAATGTTTTTGGAATAATACGTTGTGAATATTTTTATGCTGCTCTTTACATTGAAATGTGGCCATTTCAGGACCATTTTTCATCGCAAGGAACGCCTGAATAAATCCTCAAGATTTTTTTTCTTGTCCAAAAGGTTTCAGGATGTTTCTCTAGGCCATCCATGAACATGCAAATGATGCTCTTGAGGATATTTCCAGCAGCTTTTCCGCAGGAACAAACACGTCAGTCGCTGACAAATCCCATGATTATTCATGAGCACGCAAATCACCAGTCATGAAAAGACAATGCAGAAAAGAAGATAAACTTTGAAAATAAAAGAGAAGCACAGCATTTTCGACGAGGTCATCTGACTTGACACTTCATTTATCCGCGGAAGATCCCAGACATTTCACAATCCTGAAGCAACTTACTTTTTGTGAAAGAATCCCGAAGCTCATTTTTATTTGAAATCTGTGATGGTCCTTGCGGACAAGGAAATTAATGGATGCTTCATTTCCATGAACCAGAGCCAGATACTTAACTTTTTTCATGGAAAGAAGCCTTTCGGCAATAATTGGATTAATTAGATCTCGGCCATGACCATTATTTTAAATTGCGAGGTTGGATGATGGTTTCTTTTATTGCCGACAAAGTCCACCGACTATAATGGAATGTCAAATCTAACAATTTTATTTTATTTATGAATTAAATCGGATGCATCTGATGTCAGATATACAATATTGGGGGAACATTCTGGAGTGAATCCAATTTAAATAGAAAAGTTCACTAATGGTTGATGAACTTAAATTTATAATTTTGATAGACAAAAGTATGCTCTGCATTCCAACAAGAAGCTTGAACAGTTTCAGTTTCTTTATTCAATACCAAAAAATGTTTCTAGATCCATTCATCCAAACATATATAAATTTTTGCTAACTTGGTGAAATAGAAATTGAAGGGAAGATAAGTATGAGTTTATTGCAAAATAATTTAGGTTCTCTAAGTACAGTATATTATTTTTGAAGGAAAGCTTAGAAAATGTTGTCCATCAATCCTCAAATGTTGGAAATTTTTTGATGTACAGTTGAACATCTTCAAGTCAAATTTGAAAATGCTCCAAAATTGTGCTCATCTCATTTTTGAGTGGCCATGGCCTAGTTTGTGTAGGCTAATCAAGAAATATTATTTATTGCAGAATATTCTCCAAATGGATCACATTGAAATGTCTTAGGAGCATGGCATTGCCAACTCCATTTTGAAAAGCATACTAATAATGCTCATCACAACAGATGAAACTTGTCATCTGTTTTCTGAGTTTTCCAATATAGGTATTTCAAAGTCTAAATTTTAGCACCAGTTTATTTACTAAAAAGCTTGAATTAGTTTGAACAATGGATATATTATGCAGTTGACCCCTGCAAAACAGATTGGTTGTAGTCTTGCTTGTTTTGCATGAGTGAAAAATTAAGGAAAATGAAATTTGCATAATAGACTTTTCACATAACAGACTAAATATAGTCTGTTGCACAAATTAAGTCCATTGTGCAGTGGTTGACTGTACAGTAATTGCAACCAACATGTTTTGAGTTATTAAGGAGATTCAAAATTGAATGCTCTCAAGAGATAATTGGCCATGGATTTCCTTTTGTGAATTGGGAGGATTTTGAATTTAATATTTCTTTTCTTATATTTGTGAGAAAAGAGTGCTCATCTTGGAAAAATGACCTCTTCATCATGTAATATTTTATACAGAACAATATTGTTTGTTGAAAAGTGTAAAATTTTCAAATATTACCTTGCAGGGCAAGTTGGTGACCAACAGGCTCACTTTTCCCCTTTCCACCATCAGCTTCCACATCATCCCAAAATTTACTCCCCACACCCAGCATCAAGACACCAAAACTGAGCTGAAGCCCATGAGACAGCATGTGGACCAAAGTGGCACACACAAGAACCACCCAACCCCAGCCCCCCTCTGGATAATAATGCGTCCAAATGGTAGCCTTTTTTCCTGGCTGCACCACCATCAGCCTCCCGGAGACTGCACTGCTAACGACACCTGGGTTCCGTACGTGCAACTGCGCTGGCGGTTTATTCGACACGCCGGAAGATGTCGCTACAAGCGGCGAAAACCCACGCGGCGATGACGAAGAGCAGTTATTCCCGTCACTACTTTTCACTTCGATTGGCTTAACGTCAGTGTCGACAGTGTCGGGGTGAGTCAGAAGACTTCGCTTGAAATCGTCTTCGGGTAAGGAATTGCTGATTTTTCTGCTGGCCAAAAGCGGAGATGCTGACGACGTTGGCATGGAATAAACACCGCTGGAATCGTCGACAGCTGGGTGATCATCGTCAACCACGACGACGACGACATCGTCATCGTCGTCTTCGTCCTCGTCTTCTGCTCCCAAACGCGTCGACACCAAGGGAGTCGATCGTTTGTGATGCTTCACGATCACTTTTGCATCCATGCCGATTTTATTCTTTTTTTTCACAGGGAAAACTGGAGTTTATCGGTAAAATTCGACATATTGTCTCGCCACCGGATTTCACATTCACTTGAAAAGCTGTTGGGTATACTTTCAAAAAAACCAAAAATAAATATTGAAAATGGTCAGAATCGCCGCAGGACAATTTCGAGTTTCAATTTCGAGTACGAACACGAAATAAAATATTCAAGAAATAATTGATGGTCCGTTTTCATATAAAATACGAGTATCATTCTTCGTGAAATTTCATCCTTGATTGTCTTGAATTTTTTGTTCGAGAAAATTAATCATTGGACGCGGAAATGTGTTCTTATCGAAAACCTTGAATAATAATTGAAGAAACACAAATTAGACATAGCAGAAAACTCCCGAAATTGGAGAAGACACTTGAGCGCCATTTTGGTCATTTATGAATACCGTCATCAAGATTTTGTCTCAAGCATGGTTCATGTCTGAAGTTATTCAATTAATGAGTCTTTAATGTTGAAATGGACTTTGTGAATTAAAATGACTTTTGAAAGCGTATTTCTTGAATTACTTTCAAGGAAAAATGAAACATTTTTTTGTGTGGATTGATTTTGCTATTCCTCGATGAATAATTTAAAAAACTGTACATATATCTGGAAAAAATGTAAATCTCTCTGAACATGAAAATCAATGCTCAGATTTTCACAGTTTACTGTATCAGAGATTTTTTCTTTAAAGATGCTGTGAGACCTCCACATGTGGACACCTCAAAATGCAGAAAATTTGACATAGGGACACATATTTTCCCATACAAAAATAATGAAAAAATGTCTGTAATGCGAACACTGACTCAACATATGGACATTTTGTGATGAAATTTCAAAAAAGTTTCTGGCCAAATTACAAGAAATAGATATTTTCAACCCTAAAATTCATGTAAGAAAAGTTCTTGGGCATTTCTCTCACCGGTTTACCATCCATTTAGCTAATTAAAAAAACCACCTCCAGCATAGATGGACTTCCTTCTCTCTTTTTCACTTGAATTTTATTTTTACAGAGAATGCCAACATTTCTATATATCGTACAGAGGTATCAGTATTCAATTCCCCAAATATCCATAATAATGTGTTGAAATAGATTGATTGAATCTGTTTCAATTGCAAGACAATTTTTATTTTCATGAAATTATGGTGAGTATTTTATGTGTAAAACATCAATTAAAATTATTTAATGTAAGTCCAAGGGAAAATGAGACTCAACTTGGGGACATTTTGAATTATGGACACTCGTGATGCACCAATTACGTCCTCATCTTGAGATCTTGCTGTTCATTCTTTGTTTAAAATCTTTGCATCCAAAGAAACATATTCTGCATTATTAGTCCACCTTGATGCAAAAAATCAGTGATCATTCCAAAAGAGACTTCATTTACACCTCAGAATGATCTTGAAGAGAACCCCAAATACAGGCAGAATTTTTCTCTTCGCATATGAATATCCACAACACAACAAGGAATATTCTAAACATGGAATTGAAGTTTCCAGTACGCACTATAAAGAAGAAACTAAATAAAATACAGTCATCAATGGCCGATTCTTTGTCCAAATACGGGCTCATTATTCAAATAAACCCTGCGATATCGCCAAGTCACACACTTTCAACAGAAGACAGCTACCGAATCTCCTCTTCTGCATTTGCATAAGAAAGGGGGTGCTGATTGGAAATCTTCTTCGGAAGGTTTCTCTTTTTCTCATGGGTTCTCTTTTTTTTATGGGTACGCGGTCGGAGTTAATTATAGATGGCCTGTAAAGAAAATTGCTGCGGGAAAGCGCGTAATTTGACAGGCTTTGACTAGTTGACGAGGTTTAATTGCAGGGTTTGTAGAGTGAAGGGGTTTTTGGTTTAGTACCCAAGACACCGGGGAAATGAGCGAAGGGGTTTTTTCGAGCGTATTGTGTGACTAAATTAAATCCCTGCTGTATTCCCGGAGGGTATAATTAATATAGCGACTTGCGTCTTTTTTTCAGTTTTGCGCAGAAACTCCTGCGGTGCGACTATTTATCAATATTTGCTCTTTTTAAAATTTGCAATTGTGTTACATTTTCAAAATTATGAACATACAATCAACCCTTGCTTAACGTTTTTAGTTGGTTCTGTGCAAAAAAACGTTATCTGAAAAAAAAACGTTAACCGACGGAGTCTTTCCCTTAAGAAATTAGGTAAAAATGTTTAATTGGTGCCAGGAAAAATTGTCTTAAGGCAAAAAACAGAAAAAAATTAATCAAAGAGTGTATTTCAACAACTGAGGTTTATGCACTGCCATTACATTCAAAAAGTAACCACAATTCTTCACTCAATGAATATCAGAGATTCATTTTAATGACACAAAAAGTCACTCATCAGAGTCACTTGAGTCATTTGCCCTCTTGCAGGGCCTAGAAGACAAAAAAACAAGGAAAGGTCTTAGTGATACCCAAAATTCAGTGTCTGACACTGCAATTGTTCATAAAAGAATTGTAACACCACACGACCACACAGTAAGCACACTTGAAGCTGTGGAAAAAGTCACATCAAAGAAAATTAACAGGAGGAAGAGAGGGAGGCATCCACATTCATCACCCCATGCCACACAACTGCAGAATGTTAACTGAGTTTGGGAACGTTAACTGAGGGGATTTTCTGGGAAGGATTGGGAACGTTAACTGAAAAAATGTTAACCAAATGGAACATCAACCGGGGGTTGACTGTGTTGAGTTGAACCTCTTTATTAACTTTGAAAGGAATACAAAAGATTAGAGAAAAATATTCTTGTGCTAAAAGAAATCTCACAACGAGGAAAAAATGATATGAATTAAAAATGGCTTGAATTAAACAGGTTCTCGGAAAGATATGCTTAGTTCATGACAAAGTCTGTCAAAAATAGAGCTTTGTGCTTTTAAGGAAGTTCAAGATTGAAAGAAAACACAGTCAAGCAGCCAGGCTGTGGTTGGGACAAATTTGTCCTATTTTAAGATGGTTTATTTTGGGAATGTGATTTCACTTTTCAAGATTCTGAATGACACGCAAAAGCTTCTCTACACAGAGATCTGCTCAGGTTTGAAACTCAAATGCAAGTGCTTCAATCAGAAGAAGTTAGAAATCAGGAAAGGAAGAGTTGAAGGACAAAAGTATTGAGATATTAATAGTTTATTCAGAAATGTCCTCGCTGGGCCTGGGAAGTTCACAGGCTCCAGCAGAAGCTGCAAAATTTTCTTCAGATTAGAAGAGAGGAATTACTTGCCTAGCGCCAAATTGTTGGCATGCCAAAGTTTTTTCCAACAAAAGAGTTTGGCAGCATGAGGAAAGGTTGAGTCTATAAATACAGGGTGTACCCTGCAATTTGATCCAACTCTGTTGCTGGGCTATTGGGTCAAATTGTGAAATGTTCAAATTGCAAGACAATATCAAATGCAATGTTTTCTACATCAAATTTCATGTTTTGCATCTTTCAGAAGGTTGAATTGTATGACAGAGGACAAATTGCAAGTCCAGCTCCCAGCAAATTTGGTAATCACATTGGAGGACATTGAATTTCAAAGTATAGGTGTTGCTCACCCTAATCCAGGTGAGGGTCAAATGGCAAAGTGATCAAATTGCCAGACAATGTCAAATTTGATGTTTTCTACAACAAATTTGACATTTTGAGTCTCTCTGCAGGTCAAATTGCAGGGCAAAAGGTCAAATGGCAAGTCAATGTCCCAGCAAATTTGACCATTGAATTGTGGGATGTCAAGATGTAAGGTACCACATTTATGGCCCAATTTATGTTTGCTAATAATCCAAGATGAGTTCCTGGCATACTTTTTGAAGGCATAATTTTTATATGTCCAATTTTCATCATTTGTAGGAAAAATGAAAATAGAAATTTTCATTGATGTTCTGGATTCTGTGTTTTGAAATATAATTTCAGCTAAAAAGCATCAGATGAATGATAAAGTTGACTATATTGAGGTTATAGAATTGGTTTTTGAGTAGGGGAGTCATGCAATTCATCTAAATTAATCCATTGTGGCAAGGTCAGGATTTGTTTTGCAGAATGTTGTGCCCAGTAGCACTAAAAGAATAAATTGTATTTTTGAACCTAGGCTAAAATCATGAGAAGTCTGAATTTGAAGAAAAGTTTGCCTGAAAAAATAATTCCTAAGTGGGTGGATTTTTTCCTTCCTTCCTAATATATGATTAGCATTGGAGATTTCTCAAAAAAGTATCGCCTGCTAGACATTGCAAATTTTGCCCTCTTATTGGCAGGTCCAAAAATTACATGGCTTCAGTCACATTGCTCAAGTGCCATTCTTTTTAAATTTTGTCAAACAAAATGCACTATAGCCTGCAAAAATTTCCTGGAACTTCTGTACAATCAAACAGAACCCCTACCATTGAAGGGTTAATATGTTTCATGGCATCAAACATAATTTGAAATCCGCATAAATAATTCCACTGAAAAAAAATCAAGTGGGGGCATGAGTTGGATTATTGTATGAGCAGCAGAAAAGAAGGAAATTCTTTGTAGTGCTTGGGTCCAAGGACTTGTAGAGATAATTTCTGATGTGTCATCCACACACTTGAAGCAATATGCTCAGGCCACACAGGCAAGTCCTGCTCCAGGGCATCCACCACAAAACAATCACTCATAACCAGGTTCTCGTTCTCTCCCCAGTAAAGTGTTGCAAAAGCCTTTTTTACAGGGTGCAAACAAAAATATTTTTTAAAGATTCTACAGGATACAAAAACGACAAAAAACAAGGCAGCCAACAAAAATCGTCAGAATGTTTGTCTAAGATGATTGTTCAGTTGCTGGTCTTTGTATTACAAAATCAATAATTTTCAAAACTGAGCTGTCTTCTGCAAAAACGCAATTATTTAAAACTTTATTTCACTTAAATTATGCTAGAAAAGATTTAACTAATTCCAAACGCACAAAAACTTTTTTTCTACTTTGATGTCCCTGTTCAATCCATCAACTTATTTGCGCAAAA